GAGCTCAGAAGACCAGAACGCTGACAGAAATGCAGACAGAAAAGACCAGCATCAGGAGGTTTCTGTTAGGAACAAGAACTGCATTGGTAATTGGGTTCCAGGTCATATGTGTTATGCTCTGGCAGAAATTTTGTCTACATTCTGCTCTTGTCCTGAGACTTTGTGGGAGACTGAGATTAATAGCAGTGGGCTAATTAATCTGACAGAGGAAATTTCAAGGCAGCCAAACATTCAGGCTGTGGCTTGGGTACTGTTATATGCATTTAGCAATGTCTACGTTGAAAATCAAGAGCTAAGGGCTGAGCTGAAAGACTTAAAAAGTTTTGAGGTTGGCCAGAAAATAGGCTGGGGTAAAGTTGGAGCCTGCAAAAGTGGAGCAGAAGAGAGCCTGGTTACTACAAAGGATAGCAATGAAACAAAGCTGAGCACCTTGCAACAGGGCAATAAAAATGATGGCTTGAAGGCATTACAGAAACCAGCAGGACCCCACTGTTCAGAGGCTCAACATTACAAAAGTGAAAGGCCTTTTTTTGAGAAGATAGCCCCAGGAAACCCTGCTGGAGAAGGAGAATGGCAGCCTAGAGCCTTTATTCCTCAAGATTTAATTTTCAGTGCTCAGTCACCCAGGCTCTCAGAGGTCAATGCAGCGATGATGCAAAGAGGCCTGGCTACTGTTCAAGCTGGCAGCAGACTTTGGTATCATCCATGTGGTGCTGGTTTTACAGACTTGCAGAATGCAAGAATCATGGGGTCAGAGGAGCTTCCACCCAGATTTCAAACGAAGAACTGGGAGGCCAGGCAGTACGGCCCTGAGAGGGCAGTGCATGAAGCTGTGAGTGTGAGGCCCACAGTGCTGTGGAGACCCCAGAAAGTTGAAGAAACCAGGAACGTGGGACATCTGAGGAAAGCCACAAGCAGTGAACAAAGCCAGTTCAACGGAGAAACTATGAAGGTTACAACCACTGGCAATGCCGCCAACCACGGCTTTGGGAGTTCACATGTTGCAACAGTTTGCCCCAGGTGCTACACATGGAGCTACAGGAATTAATGTTTGCTGGGTTTCAGTCTTGCTTTGCTTTCATTGGTTTCTATTCCCTTATTTTCCCATTTTGAATGGAAATGTTTGACCTATGCCATTGTATGTTGTCAGTGTGTAACTTTTTGATTTTTTATAGGGGCTCCCAGCTAAGAGTCTGCCTTGTGTCTCAGAGGAAGCTTTGTACTTGAACTTTTCAGCAACCCGAGGCTGTTGAGACTAACAATTCTTAGAGATGGATGAATGCATTTTGCATAAATGGATATCCTGAGTCTTTTAGGGGCTGGAGTAGAATGTTATGGATTGTATCTAGATGCCCCCGCAAAAGCCTTGTTCACTCACAGGTGGGGCTTTTAGCAGGTGATTGGACACATGACAATCATTAGTGGATCAGTCCTCTAGTGACTGTATAACTGAGTTGCTGTTAGGAGGTGGGATCTGGTAAGAAGGCATGGGTCACTAGGGGGTGTGGGCTGGAAGGGTTTATCTCTTCCCTGTTCTTCCCTTCACTCTGTCTCTGCCTCCTGCCTGCCATTCTATAAAGAACCCACAGCTGCACCTGGCTGCTCTGTAGCGTCCTGCCTTGGAGCCATCTAACTACTGAAACCTCTGCATACTATGAACCACCCTAACCCTCTCCTCCTTTAAGGTGTGCCTCAGTGATGAGAAAGTAGCTAAGACAAGGCTACAGGGTAGAATGAAAGTAGCATGGGGAGCAGTGTCACAGCTCACGAACAGCTAGTCCCAGTGACACAAACAGGAAGACTGTGTTGTAAACCATAGGGATTGGAGATTGTTTGTTACTGTAGGCTAACCCAAAAAGATCTGACCAGTGTGTCACACATTTCCTTATCTCTGGCATTTCCTTTGGTACTTATACCTTCTGACTATTTCTAACAGATGCTGGTGAGTGATGGGTATCATTCTTAATATTTCAGGGGGTTTCTGGCCTGACTATATCAGAAAAAGGGTTGTAGTTTTAAAAACACAAACTCATTGACTACAATCAGGGAAGTTCTGATTCTATAGATAAGACTCAGTTGTTGCTCTCACTACAGAGGCCAGGAATCTGCATATTTAGAAATTTCACAGGTGTTTTAGCAAATTCAGAAATTGGTTATGGGCTTTAGTTTGCTTTGGACGAATCATCTTTCTCCACCTTCTGAACCTGCATTGCCATCACCTTTATAGCCTTGACCTGAACATTTGTGTGGTGTACTCCATCTTGGCTCCATTGTTTTGTCTTGTATTTACAACCTAACCAAACGAGACTTGTAATCTGTGACTGCAGTTGTTCCATTTTGTAATGGCTGAATGTGTGGCCCAAAGCAAACATTGAATTTTTCTAGGAAGAAGTGTGTGTGTGTGTGTGTGTGTGTGTGTGTGTAAAAGCACATTTATGAACAGAAACAGGTAAATGGTTTCACGCTGATAAAGAGATAATTCTGAAACAATGCTGAAAGAGCTAATTATCTGTCTGGGAAAAGGTACAGGCCCTATTTAGGTCAAAAGTAACAGGGAAATTGCAGATACAATTATTTCTTTTAACTCTCTCATAAGTGCCCCTGTGCATTAACACACACATAAATCTCCTCAGCAGGCTGTTAGTGAGAATGGGATGATTGTCCAAATAAATCCTTAAAACAGCTTTTGTTCAGTCATACAACAACAAAAAAAATAAGGAAAAGATATGAGGATGAAAAATAATCTAAGGCAAAATCAGATAAAATCAAATACCTTATTTTTTGGTGTGTATGGGGATCGAACTCAGGACCTTGCACTTGCAAGGCAGGGAACAGCACCACTGAGGTAAATCTCTGACCCTAAATACCTCATTTCCTGTGATGAGATCCTGGCCACAGTCATCACAAATGTATAAAGCTTCCCATACCGTGAAGACTGCCCTCCCTTCCCCACCCTGTTCTCCTGTAAGTTCTTAATGAGTTTCTACTAAGCCACTCTGAGTAAGCTTCTCATTTATGTTCTGATTGATGTTTCTGAAATAAACCCAGAAAGTAATAGGTATCGAAACACCGCCCAGAGTTAGAATGCCGGCTGTGTGGTGTGACCACTTTCCCTTAGCCATCACTTCGATGTCCTTCCTGCTGGTGGGCATTTATGGTTCTGTCAGAGCACTGAACATGCAGCCACCCTCATTGCAAAGGTGGTGCACTTAGTGTCTGAACAACAACTGAAAATATTCAGGAAGAAGGTGATATATCTTTTTTAATCCATGGTACTTTATCATTGGAATTGAATGGCTCAGTCAGAGACTTATGGTTGGTGGGTTTCTTTCTGGCTTTATCCAGAATGGACATATAATTGTCCTGAGTTCCCAGCTTATTCCCCATTTTTGTTCCTCCTGAGATGTTCAACTTGTGACAAAGGTCACAATGATATGAAAGATAAAATAAAGCAAATTACAATTCTCGCCTTGAATTTCATCACATTATGAAGGCATGACCAGCCAAAATTAAGGTTAATAAATACCTAGATAAACATGTAGAAATGTAGACTCAGCAAACTTCCAAAACTCATTTGCTCAAAGATACTTTCTACTGTTCATATATAAAAAAAACCTAAGAAAGTCAGCTAAATACCTTGTGGTGATATTTTTTTTCATTTTCTCATGAACTCCGTAGATATAGAAAACTCTAGAGAAATCTCCCTTCTAAATTTCCATGTTCATACTTAAGGCCTTTTCTTCACAAAAGTATAGTTATTACTTAATAGCACTGAGAGAGGTCCAAGAACAATTTCTCATATGACTACTTGAATTTCAAAGGGAGGTATTTCTATTTTAAATGTCTGTTCAAACTTCCTATGTTAAACTTAACAACCTTAAGTTTGGAAACTTTGTAGATCATAAATACTTCAGATCAGCTGTCTCTGAGGCGTACCTTTTTACTAAACGTTGTTACGTATTTTATTGTAGGACTCCTGCTTGTTCAGAATTTGCCCCTTTGGTAGTAAATACATCTCTATTGCAACTGAAAGTTTCTGGAGAACAGAAAGGTTGATAATTCTTTCACCACCAGTTTAAAAAATATATTTCTCTTCCTTATTCTTTCTTTTCCCATTTCCCCTTCATTGCCTTATCTCCTTCTTTCTTTCCTTTTCTCCTTTTTTCCTTTCTTCCTTCCTTTTCCCCCATCTCCTCTCCTTTCCTTCTCTCTGACTTTGCCTCTGTCTCTTTAATTTTATTATCATTTTGTTTCTTGGCTATACTGTGAATGCAACCAGGGCCTTTGCACTGAGATACGTAACCAGCCTTTCTCTTGTTTTTTCTTTTAAGACAGGGTCTCACCAAATTACTGAACTGCTCAGGCTGGGCTTCAGTTCACAATCCTGCCTTAGAAGGATTACAGGAGCACAGCACATACCTTGTTTGTGTTTTTCTCTTTCTCTCTTTCTTTATGGTGTTCGGAAACTCGGTGGTTTTCCACAAACAATACCTGTGGTATTTAATTTCCCCAATATAATAAGCAGATAAATTAAAGATGATTTGATGAAGTGGGGAAGAGTCTAATTTCCAGACACTTAGACTCAGTCACATATCAGAATTATTCTAGGAATCATTGTCTCTGAGTCCTTGTTTATTGTTTACGCTACTAATGTTGTTTGCCTCAAGTTAAAAAAAAAATGGGATTGAAGATAAAGTGTGTTGTGAAGAATCTTCCCCCCTTTTGGATTTTCAGTACATCTGGATCTCAAGATAGCTGGAAATACCAAGATTTCTAATGATAAATTGTATTTGCTTTACTTTCATACTTGAACACAAAAGGACAGAATGTTTTCATGCTACTTAAAATTGTTGTAAGAGCCAGCCCTTTGTAAAACAAATCTTTCTTCAGCCCAAAGTTAAAATTCGCCAATTCACCTGGGACACACAGGCTTGTGCCTATGCTTTCGTGTATATAGGCTGGTTTTGTCTTCACGGATTTTGGTTTGCTTTCCTTTACAGCATAGGTGGAGAAGTAGGACGAGGCCAGGACGCGAGCTACGTGGGCAAGCATTTCCGCATGGGATTCATGACGATGCCCGCACCTCAGGACAGGCTTCCCCATCCCTGCTCCACAGGATTCACGGTGAGGTCCCAGTCCCTGCACTCCGTCGGGGGCACCGAGGATGACACCAGCTGCTCCCGGAGACAGCCACCACCCAAGCCCAAGCGTGACCCCAACACCAAGCTGAGCACCTCCTCGGAGACGGTCAACAGTAGCACAGCCAGTAAGGGCGGGAAGCCCCTGGAGAGGACCGAAGGTAACGCTCATTTGCCCCTCCACACCCGGGAGTCTGAGGCAGCACCGCGGGTCACCACACTAACCACCTATGCCTTCCTCACAGGGCTACATAATCCTGCCTCCCTCACCCTGAAGTCCCAGAAAAGAAATACCAAGGGGGAAAGTTGTTTATTGATGTGTTTTCAAATGACTCCCAGAAGCACCCAGAAGGATGTACTTAATTTATATAATAAGAAAGAGAAGGCAATATGTGAGTTTTTTTAAACCCCCTTTAAGCTCTGAATCATTTGAAAACTATTTTGCCCAGAAATATTTCTAGAATTTATAGTTTCTTGCTTTTATTGATATGATTTGCAAAATTTGCAGAAGCATTATGTAATTATTGGGGGGAATGTTTGAATGCAGAGATTTATAAAAAATAATCCTGTGATCATATCTTTTAGAAATGATACTTTCAACATTGTTTCTTTCCAGTGAATATAAGTGGATGCATGTGTGTATACTATATATTTCGATCTCCACTTTCTATCTCCCATTTCTGGCTTTACCTTGGCTTTGAAATGCACAAATCAAGAATATTCCATTTTCCTCACTAATCGCTGAATATAAGTACATAAATTAGGTGCACATAATCCTAGCCTCATCCATTCTTTATCCTTTAACTGAATCAGTAAGATCACAGCTTTCCCTGTGAGGTACTTGATGGGAGAATAATCTTAAGTGGGCTTTGATACAAGCTATCTTAGTCAGTTCAGGTTGCTATAACAAATTGCTTTAGACTGGGTAGTTTGTAATGAGCAGCAATTTATTTCTTAGAGTTCAGAAGGCTGAACAATCAAGGAGCCAGAATGATCTTCTGGTTAGTGTTCTCTTCCAGGTTGCAGGTCACTGATTTCTTGTACTCCCAAGTTCCCACCTCTAAATACCATCATGTATTTTATTTCAACATTTTAATTTTAATGGTCACAAGTGTTCACTTCATGGTGTGAGGTTGTCCAGGTTTTTCCATATATTGTAATAAATACCTCCATGTTCCCAATACTGCCAGTAGCCAGTTTGCCAAACAGTTGCACCAGGTCCCAAGTCTCTCCCACCTTGCCCCGTGCTGGCTTTCTCCACAGCGGGCTTCCATGAGCCCTCACGGTACCCAGTTTCTGTGCAGGATTGCAGCAGAGAGTGGAGACTACAAGGTCCTCTCCTCAGCTGGGTAGAACTCTTTACCACTAGGGCTCCTGGCTCCTCGTGAAATCTCCCTCACCTTCTGGCCTTACTCTTTCCACACAAACTCAAATTTAGTCCACTTGGTACACGCCACCCCTTCCTTTACCCTCAACTTTCTTTCTTTCTTCTAGTGGCCCAGTCCCTTTAGCCAGACCACAGTAGTTTCAGTGCATTACTGAACAACATGAATAAATGTCTTGTGATGAAGCTAATTCATCAGTTCTACAAGGACAAACCTTAGTTTTTGCTACTATGTACATGCAAAACTGCATCATACACACATATATATAATTTATGTGTGAGGGAACACATGAATAACTTCCGAGTGTATGTTTATTTGAAAATTTGAAATCATAGTGCATACTTTCCTGTTTTTTACATTCACTTATTTTATGTTGACTATTTTTAGTGGCATGTAATTTGTCAAGAAACACCATTTTTACAGAGGGAAGTATACATGAGAGTAGTTTATCACCTTATTGACGATACAGTGGTTACAGTTCATGTAACTCCAAGGAAGATCATGATGGTTAACATTTATGCATATTCATGTGTCTGTCTCTATATATTTTGGGGTGAGGTTATTAGAAATAGGATTTTTCCCTATAAGTCAGTTTTGTCAGTATATTCTTCAACTTGTAACAATGTAACATCAAACACATCAACATACCCATGCTTTTACAAGCAACATAGATATTTAGTTTACTTACTAATATAACAAAGGCCCCAGAGACATGAATGTTGTAAATTTTGAACACTGTTCCTCCAAGTGGCTAGTTCCTGAAGGCCATATTTTTTCTCAGGATCCTTCACCACTCAAGGATCAAGGTTTCCCAACACCTAGCTACCTGGCAGTGCCCAGAGAGCAGTTATATAGTCTTCATTTCATCTGAAGGCACAAGAGGAGAAACTGACTTAGTTACAGTAACACAGATGTAATTTAAACTTGGAAAAGTACTCAATGCACAGTGAGCCCCATGGAACAGTAGGTGCAAGTCACATATTTTCCCCCCAAAAGAAGCTCTCAGGACCACCTGGGAAGCCCTCCACTGGCACTGTGGTGGCTATGGAGAGTCTTGAGTAGACTGGGTGAGTTACCAGATGCCTGTGCAGGAATGGTAGACTTTGGTAGAAAAGTGCTTTGATTTTCTATGCAAATTTTGCTTTCTCCTCAGAACTCTTAAGAGTAAAAGCAGTTGCAAAACTAGCTATGGTCAAATCTCTTCTAACATTGTATGACCTCAATAATAACAGGATAGAATCAGGGCTCAGTCCACACATGGGAAAATCTTGAATCCAAATGTGCGCATGCATGCGCATGTGTGCGTGTGTGTGTGTATACCTGAAGCCAAAATTATATAAATATGTAGATTGCTCTTTTTTGAATTCTCAGTTCTTCATAATTACCAGCTAACTGGAGTTCATTATAGAACATATGTTTTCTTTACAATTTTCTAAGCTATCAACATTATAACACAGATAAAAAGTGACTTTTGTAAACCTTAGCTGCCTTTTCTTTTTGAATGAAATGTCAGCAAAATCAAAATATTGATTCAGTAGCATTAGAATGGTTTCCATGGTAACCAGATTCTATTTAAGCAGAGGATTATTACTTCCCTGTAGATGAAAGGAAAAAAAAAAACTGGACACACAGCAAAATGACTTTTCAGAATAAAAGAAAGAAAGAAAGAAAGGAAGGAAGGAAGGAAGGAAGGAAGGAAGGAAGGAAGGAAGAAAGAAAGTTGAATGCAAACAAAATATCACATACCCAGTAAAATTCTAGTGTTTAAAAATTATAATGCTACCAAGTTAAAATATAGATTAAGTGCTCTATTTTAGGAGGTTCTAGAATAGTAACAACTTGAAAAAGTTTATATAGTGGAGAATATAAATTAGCACTCAATATACTATAAATATTTTAATTAGCCTTTATGGCCTTAGTGTGTTACTCATTTCTTTTGAGAAAAGATTAAGTGAGATGAAAGGCGTTAACTAGAAAGAATAACAAGCCCAATAAGCCATGTGAGCTAGCAGTATCTTGTATGTGACCCAGCAAAAGTAGCTGTACAGTTCCCCATCAGTTATCCCCAGTTCCTGGATCAATACATACTCCAGTCCACAGGAACTGCATTGATAGAGATGCTATGCCCTGTGTGCAAAGGGGCTGGACTTAGAGTCAAGAGGCAAACATTTGCTGCGGGCAAGTGACTCAGTGAGATGGAATTGATAGTGACCCACCTTCCTCATACTCTTATGTCAGTCCAGTGGGCTAATTCCGGTGAGGTGCATACTAAAAAGGAAGTGCTGTACAAATGGAAGTCGGTACAATGTGTAACGTGTAATTACCATCTATTAATATTCCTGAATGAAATGAAGTCCTGGTTTGGTGCCACACATATATTGAAAACAAATAGGAAAGGAAAAGAAAAGACAAATTTGCCCATCTTAAATATGTGAGTCTTAAAATCTTAACACAGGGATATCACCAACAGCATGCAAAATAAGAAGTGCTGGCAAGGATGTGGAGGAAGGAAAATCCTTGCACACTGTTGGCAGATAATGTATGCAGCAAAAAAGCATGAGACTGCCCCAAAATAATTAAAAACAGTGCTTCCATATGATCTAGCAATCCCACTAGTACTTATATACTCAAAGGAAATAATTCCAGCATGTTAGAGAGGTACGTACACATTATGTTTGTGGCAGCGCTGTCCACAATAGCTGAGATATGAAATAAAACCATTGTCCATCGACTGATGAACGGAGAAAGGAAATGTGACATATGCACAATGGGAAATTTTCAGTAAGCTCAAGAGATCTATTGTAAAACACAGTAACTACACTTAATAAGTATGTGTTGTATTCTTAAAATCATTGAGAGATTAAAATCTCAAAAATGAGTGTGAGGTTATATATATAAATTACCTCAATTTAGCTATTACACAATGTATTCATATTTCAAATGATCATGGTAAGTATGGTACACACAATGTTTTATAACTAAAAGTTAATAAATGAGAAAAATGGCAAAACACCCAAATTTTACACAATGACACAAACAGGAAAAAGTTATTCTACGGGTAATCTTTTCATAAGATATTGACATTAATAGTTCTCAGTTATAGTAAAATTTTAATAGTATTAGGAAATTTTATACTATTTAGGATGAGGAAGAAAATATATTTTTATTAAATTCAAGAAACTATACCTTAGAGAGTTTTAAAAACCATAAAATTTTAAATTTCCATTTGTTATAAACTCTGCATTCAAGTCATTTTTAGTGCTTATTTTATATTGAGAGATCCTGTTTACTTACAAAACAATAAGGACATATTTTTGAACCAGGATATAGTCTTCCTGATTTCTGACTTTCACTTTAGAAATGCTTAGTGGAGCCCTATCTTTTGGATCAAGAACCAGAATTCATGCTGGACTATTTAGAATTGAGGCAGTCTTTAAAAACTGAGAACATGTCTTTGAACCAGAATACCTGGACTATCTATCTTGAACTTGGGCCTCAGGGGTGAACAGAACGAAAATGATCCTTTCCTTCATGTTTCTTACAATACATTTTGCTTCTCTACCTCAGCGGGTTTACTTTATCAAGATCACAGAACAAGTGGTGATTTCAAGGAATGATTTCCAGAAACCCCAATATCTAGCATATAGCCATAAGGGTCTCTTCTGTGTAATTAGTTGTTAAGCTAGGGAAGAAATAGTTCCTTACAAAGATTATTCTTTGCTCCTCAGCTGTTTGGTATTGGCAATTTAGAGGTGCCTGAATCTGGTCCCCTACCA